GTATTTTTGGTCGGGGGTTGGGTAAAGTGAAGGCGGCGAGTTACTAGGCGTTATAGTAACAAGCAAAAACCTTCTTCTGCCTCTGTGGGTGGTCAGCTTTGTGTTAGGGATTTGTATCTGCAATCACTTGTTTAACTAACGGGGGAGGGAGAACCATTTTTTATACGTTTACTATAGGTTTGCCTTTTCTCTTGCCCTTTCCGCTATCCTGTAGATCGCGGTTCCCACCCCCCAGGCTGGTCTGGGAGAACTCGGATACTAGTATGTTGCTCGCTGAAATCAAAAACCTATCCCAAGGTGTAGTCACTAGCAGCAACACGCTAACTATCCTCCTCTAGCAGCCCTAACGATAGGAGAATTGTATTGCTCGTAAACGAGATATCCCTAGAAACCGGTGTCTCTAGTAGTGCTAAGGGGTTATTAGGAAGTAAGTGCAATCCTACAGGCGGGTGGAGGAGTGGTTGCTTGTGCACAGGCAACAACAGGGAACAGGCATTTAATTTTGGTGATTAGACTACCGGTACAAGTACTAGTACCATGGCAGGTCTTTCTGTGCTGCGGCCTTATTGAGAGAGGCTTGGGGGCAGCTTGGCACAACGGGGTTGGGATACAGTACCGTACTGCCGCTACCGGTATCTGTGATTGAACATGGCCAATATCGCATGACACCAAACTGGAGGCAGTTTTTACGGTATGAGCTGGCTTAGCAGCCGTGTTCACAAACTCTCCTCAACTATTTGGCCATTATAAAGTATTCGGACGCTTTGCGCCCACACAGGTGTTAATAATGCCAAGGCATCCGAATACTTTATAGATGGCCAAGTATGCCTCAGGGAGCGTTGTAAGACTTTACCACAACTCGGCTTTTATTGGATAATAGAGGGGGCTAGTGAAGCATTTCCAAGGGTTCTTTATACGGCACCGGTATGATGCTTGGAAAGGTACAGTACTAGTATCGGAACTCTGCGGACACGGCTGTACTAGGGAGATTCGAAGCTCTCGGTCCACGGAAGGTACGGGTGTTTCGGTAGGTGTATTTTTTTTTGGAAATTATCGTACGGGGCTGGGGACAAAAGTGATGGCCAGCAACTGCAAAATCTTCACCACACAACAGCCCCCTTGCCGACGAAAAAAAAGATGAATACCCTGCCACCCCAACATCCCACTGCAGAATGGAGTACTCAAACAAGGGGGAGAGTACTTGGGCTATTAGAAGCAGGTTTATCGCAAACAGAAATTGCTGGGATGACTGGTGTCCCACGATACACAGCAAACCTCCTCAGAAGGAGGGATGTAGCATACCAGTACTCGAGTACAGAGGTATGGTCATTTATTCAAGCAGTACACCTGTATTTGTGGGGTATACCATGTACTCGGCTCGCAGCGTACTGAGAGCTTTGAATCTCCCTACTCGAGTACCGGCATCGGTACTGGATCACTGGATAACTGGAAAACCGGTAATTGAGCCGCGCGCTATGGCGTCAAAAGTTCTCTTTCTTGGAGTGCCGTAGGGGGCGAAAAGACAGCGAGAACTGACTTCCTCGGCCCCAACTTAGAAGGGGGCAAAAAACGTACCTCACCAGGACGTCGCAGCCTGAGGTTCGGTTACCAGTATTCCAGTAAAAACGGCATACCCCCTTTAGATACGCCCGGCGGCTGAGACCCAAGCACTGCCCCTCCGAGCACCTGTTACGCGATCTGCTATGACCCCACCCGTTACTCTATTAAATACCTTTCACCTCTCACGGAACCTCCCACCCAGACCTCCATAGTGAAGCCTTCGGCTATCGCAAAATTATCTTCACAAAATCTCTTTTACGTTGCCTGAGCTTGCGCGCCACTCTCGGCGCCTATAACTAAGTTAATCGCGACAACCTTCTGGCTGGCCTGGACCGCTTCTCACAGGCACTTGGCATTATTCCATAAGCGGGGGGAATAAAAAAAAAGAAAAGTAAGGAATAGAGACTGCGACCCTCCTCTCTCCCGACATTTACCAACTCCTGTTTCTAGAGTTTTTGTCTCGTTCGACCTTTGTGAAATCTGCCCAGAGCCTTACTTGTGAAGGCGGTCTTGAGATGGAAATGTGAGTTATCATACCCCTGCTAAAGGCTGTCGACTTAGCTCCGCAATTGAAAATTGGTTTATTGACGAATCCCACCAATCTGGGCGCTAGGGCAAGGCAATATATCCCCAAACACAATGTCGTGGGGGACTACAGTGGAAACATCAATAGCTTTAATGCCGTAAATATTGTCAGCCATTACTGGTCTGATGATGAGGAGGACGAAGGAGTGGGCAGCGGTATTGATCATACCATCACCCATCCAACTCGCTGGAAGTCTAATTCCCCATGTCTTTACAGATTCCGGAGTGGGTTCAAGACCTTTCT